GATGTGTATTTAGTTCATACGAAATGACTATTTTGTTCATCCATAGTTGGTATATAAATTATACATATACATGTGCATATTTAGTTCATTCATGATACATATTCAATTCATACGAAATGCGTTCATCCATAGTGCATATTTTTTGTATTTAAATTAAATATAAACATGAAGCGTATTTAGTTCATTCATGATGCATATTTAGTTCATAAGAAATGCATATTGAATTCATAAACAGTGCATAAGTGATATTTGTTGCATATTTAGTCCATAAGGATTGTATATGCATTTCATACCAAACACATAATTAGTATATATTAAGTGCATAGTGTTGAATGCATAATTACTGCATACATAATGCATACTAAGGTCAAAGGGTCAACGCTGGAGTCAACGTTGGAAATCAACCGGTCTCACAAGATGTCAATGCCGAAAGTCTACGACGGAGTCAGCGGTCAGCGATTAAAAATGGTCAACATAACATTTAAATAATTAAAATAAAAAATATTACCCCACATAGATCTTGATACCTATCTAATGGTTATGATTGGGTCTCGCATACTCATTTTAAGAATCCGTCCTCATTGGGACTATAATTTCAAGACAAACATCTCAAAATAAATTTTTGTTCTTACAAGCAAGGAGCAGTTGATGTAGTCTATAGCAGAACATGTTGAAGAAACTCTCCTTACCCAGAACCAGCAAAAGAATTAACCAGGCCCCAAGCAGTAGTAACTATGTAGTCTAAACGGAGTAGTAACTTTCAGAGTTTAAACAAATTTTGGTAGCTAGAGTCCCTAAGTTGTGGACACACATGGGTGTGTTTATCGTCCTATCAAATTAATATTAATAATAATAATGTTGCTTCATGACAAATAGAGAGGTTTAAGAGATTATATAGGGAGATGCTACAGTTCCGTTACAAAATCATTCCATCGAAGTTTGTAACCGTTAGATCAACTATCCCCGATGGTTACATGATGATCTAACGGTTACAAAACCCAACGAAATGGTTCCGTAACGGGACCGTAGCATTTCCCGATTATATAATCTGTATAATCCATGAACAAGAATGCACAAGATATATCCTGATCATACTAAACAACATTGAACCACATTAATTTTCTAATGTTCCAAGATATAAAGTCCAAATTATGTGATTCTAACAATAGCTGCCAATACCAAAAGGTTGGGGATGAATATACTACATCCATCACTCCCAGAAAAATCAGAAACTTCTTTATATATCTAATCCAAACACCACAACATTGTCAGCATACCACTGCATATTTGTTTTCATGATTTTTTTCTTATTTATATATCATTATTTATTTTATTTTATTTTATTTTTTTTCTGTTCTACAGAACCTAAATTTGCTTCTGTTTCTTCTCAAAATAAGTGAAATTTCTCTGAAAATCCAATACCGCCAGCACCAGGTGCCGGAATCCGATATCCGGCCAGAGCACCCCAGGGGAGTACAGTAAGGTAGACGTGCTCTGCCACAGCAGAAAATTGCTCAGCCGGGTCTCGCCCGAGGTCCGTACCAAAACATCTGGGTCGGGCGCAACCGCCATATACATAGCCCTATCAACATCCGCCACATCGACACGGCACTCGCCTTCGTCCCCCGAAATAAGCACCGCCCGTTTTCTCTCGCTGCATGTTTTCTCGACTGCTCGCATGATCTCGTCCGTGGATGTGTAGGCAAGGCAAATCGAGAGCACGGCCCTCGAGTTTTGCATGGTGGCCTGCATGGCCCGCTCGGCAGCCGATCGAACGGGCTTGCTAAGGAGCTTGAGGTTCCCTATGAAGTGGACTCGAACCCCATAACGGTGGACTATACTCTCCTCCTCGATTAAGCCCTCGATTTTTTCCTGTATCAATTGCATGGTGGATTGTACCTCCTCCGGACGCCTTTTGAAATTGTCGATGCTGAAGGCGTAAATGGTCACATATTTAATATTAAGCTCGTAACAGTATTGTAGCATTCTCATGAGGGCCGAGAAGCCAGCCCGGTGGCCCGCTGCCCCTTCTTGAAGGTTCCTCTTCTTGGCGTACCTTCGGTTACCGTCCATGATGAAGGCAATGTGTCGGGGGATGGGGCCCACTGAGAGGATTGAGAATATGCATTTGCGGAGGAAACTCCAAAAGCATTCTAGTAATTGAAAAGCCCGATTAATGTGTTCTTTCTCCATGAGCACTTTGGATATAAAGAAAAAAAAAAAGTGTGTTATGCTACTTTCAGAACAAAGCTGATAACAACAATACAGATCAGTTTATTTTCTGGTAAACCCAAAAGTGAATGTATCATGTATGTATATAGTAGAAACGCAGGCAAGAATACCAAACGTGCCTCGTGAATAAAATCTAGATGCAAAACCAGTAAAGGGAAATTGCTCACATATAAAGAATAAGTCACCTCTCAAGTATAGAGCTATTCATTATGCCTTGTATGCTAGTTCGGGAAGCAACCTTCATGAAAATTCTAATAACAGACAAGTTTGACTTAAGGACAAAAGACACTTTCGAGCCAACATGTAAAATTATATTCGATACAGAAAATAATAGAAGCCATTAATAATGAACTAACTCTTACCAACAAGGAGAAACAAGAACTAAATCCACCATCTTAGCTAAAGATAGAAAATGAAAACATATAGCCTGTTACGAGAAAGAAAAATTATAACTAACAGGTGTTCAATTAAAGGCCTAGAGGTGTTCAATTAAAGGACTAGGTTTGTTGTTTATTGCCAAGGAAGGCTGTGCAAGAGTTGACTTAACATAGTCGAGTTTTGTTTCCCTCATTGTCAAATGGAGGCCACTGCGGTATGTGTCAAGTGATATTTTTAAGCCTAATCCTTTATCATTAATAAACCCAAGATCCATCTCTTTAAGAAACTCCATGTTTCCTCATTTTCGTTCTTCTTCTTCTTTATCCTTTCTTCAAAAAAAAAAAAAA